CAACTACAACTTCACGATATAGTCGAATCTCTCTTAGCCTTGCCTCATAAAAGGCTTTTTTAGCCAGGGAGGACTGTAGGTCTTATCAACACACTTAAAAGAATATGAAACCAGACAATGCGTGTCAAGAGGTAACACGTTGCCTCCACTCCGAGGCTAATGAGACAAACCAAATTGGAGTCCACTTTGGAACAGGACTTAGTTTGGGCCACCTCGACTTAACATTAAATAAAGCTAAGCAAGGCGATTAGCAGAAACGTGGCAGTAAGGATCATTTGGCCTTGAAAAACACATGAAATTATATAAGTGGTCTGACGTCGTTTTCACAACTTGGTCATGTAATCAAGGCGACTTAGTTTGACGCGTCTTGTCCGAAGTCTTCTGCTATAATAGTTATCATAATTCCCAGGGCCGAACCGTTGATTTGGTACATTCTCAAACGTTTCGCATTGTCAATGAGGCTCGCCATTCTCAGCATCAAACTACAACTCATCAGACAAGTGAAATCAATCGCTTGACCAACTTTCTGCCGAAACAATTGTACTATAGCTAATTTTTCTCGTCAGATCTCCCTCGTGGGCCCGTAGGTCCGTTTCTTATTCTTCTGGTTGACCACTTTAACCCGGATCGAGTCACAGTATACATCATACTCCAGGCGCTATTTCTTAAGCCTTCATTAGCACATACAAAGTCACCTCACCTACAGAGCGCATGGGCTCTGATTCCCATGCTTGCAGATATTAGGCATTGTCTTAACGGGTCATCTCCTTGATCCAGCCCATGTACAATGAGCAAACTGCACGTCTATCTCTGGTCGCCTGCTACCTCTCGAGTAGATTTCTAGTCAATTTGGCTATAATGCCGAGTTTATGCTGGGGTGATTATCCGTCTTCCAAGCCATGTGACTGCCAGGCCTCCGAAATTGCAGTTGTTTCTTCAGTGAGAACTTCGCTTGATTTCCAAAAATCTTTCACCCACTTCCTTTTTGCGATACTTTTTCTCTGGTTATTAATATATCCTTGATCCGGGCGCCTCCTTTTTTCTTGTCTTGTCTTATCATTGTTTTCTCCGAGTTTGCTTAGGCAATAGGCAAAGATATCGATGGTTTTGGTTCGACCCTATTTTCGCAACTTGGTCAACACGTCAAGAAGACCTTGTGGTACGTACCTAGTCCTGTGTTCTCTGCCATAGTATTCGTGATTTCCAGCTTTAGACCATTGACTTGGTACATTTCTAAACGTTTCGCAGGCATCGTCAGTGGGAGGCGCTATCGTAGGCACAGGCAATGCCTAATATTTGCAAGCATGGGAATCAGAGTCTATGTGCTCTGTAGGTGAAGTGACTTTGTATGTACTAATGAAGGCTTAAGAAATAGCGCCTGGAGTATGATGTATACTGTTACTCGAGCCGAGTGAAAGTGGTCAACCAGAAGGATACGAAACGGACCTACGGGCCCACGAGAGAGATCTGGCGAGAAAGATTAGCTATAGTACAACTGTTTCGGCATAAAGTTGGCCAAGCGATTGATTTCACTTATCTGATGAGTTGTAGTTTGATGCCGAGAATGGCGAGACACACTGGCAATGCGAAACGTTTGAGAATGTACCAAATCAACGGTTCGGCCCTCGGAATTATGAAAACTACTATAGCAGAAGACTTCGGACAAGACGCGTCAAACTAAGTCGCCTTGATAACACGACCAAGATGCGAAAACGACGTCAGACTTCTTCTATGCATTGAAAAGAGGCTGCGACCATAATAGAGGCCACAGCATCTGCGTCTTCATATATAAGAAATTAGCCTTGGCCATATCTAGTAGTAGAGAGAAGTTGAGTATCTGTTTGTGTAATGAGCCAAACAGAATCACATCTTGCATCAAGAATTGCTAGATATTTTCTCTGTATCTTAGATATCATGGTCAATATAAAAGCCAAGTTGTAAAGTATTTTATAAGAAATATAAGATTTGTTCATCCTATTTAATTCAAGGTGATGAAGGACTGGTCGTTGAATTTTAGCCACAATTATATAAGTGGACCTTACATTTTCATTGAATTTCGCATGGTCTTGCCTTCCCAAGATGTATTATAATAAAGAATAGACTGCAATTTCGACCTCATTTGGGTCTTAGCAACACCCCTAGCGGGATTTGAGTCAGGAAACTGCAACGTATAAATTCGCTATGACCTAAAGGCACTCGTGGTAATGTGACGCAGTGGTTAATGTATCGAGATTATACGCTGCACTGTCATGAATCGAATCCCGCTGGGGGTGTTGATAAGACCAGGACGAGGTTAAAACTACAGTCGCCCTGGAGGAGAATATCTTCTTGGAAAGCAAGACTAAGTGAAATTCAATAGAAATGTGAGGTCTACTCATATCATTGTGGGGAAATTCAACTAAGAGTCCTTAATCACCTTGAACAAAATAGGATAAAAAAATCTCATATCTGATTTGCTGGTAGTTTCAAAACCATACTAACAAATGAAAAGATTCAAAAGAAAGCTCTTACATTTAAAAAATGTTGAAATATTTAGGTAAATTATAGGTGACAATATATTTTCTATTTTTATTTGAAATAACAAAGATAAGAAAAGTAAAGCATTTTAAGATTATGGACTTCAAATCGCTGTAAGCATCCTAAAAACTTTAAATCGTGAAACTGCTTCCAACTAAAATTACGTTTTAGAGAAGTCGCTTGAATTTGTTTACGCAACTTGGTCCTATTGGCAGGAAGACCTAGAGAAACGGACCAAGTCCGGAGTCACAGTATGTATGATAATGCCCAAAGTCGGATCGTGGACTTGGTACATTCCCAGACGTTTCACCGGCATCGTGAATGAGCTTTGCCATTCTTAGAACCACACTACAATTCGTCAGAGACAAGTGAAGTCGATCCTCTGACTAATTGTCTGCTAAGCAATTGTGTTATCTCTCCTTCTGTATCGAGCTATTCACTTATCATATACCCTCATAATCACCTCTTGAATATTAAAATTTCTTATTTGTTTATCCGAGTCAGTTTCTCGAACTCCTCTTCCCAGAACTGAGTGTCCGTTAGTCTAAGGCTTCTGATGATCATACTCTTTATTATTTCGATCTTCAGTCTATAGTTGCGCTGAGACTGAAAATGGAGGATTATTCCTTCATGTGATTTCTTTCTGAATAGTCTCCTGTTGAGTATTCCGTTGGAGCGAATGACCTCAGTATCCAGGAAGGGTAGTTGTTTACCCTTATCTACCTACGTTGTTAATTTTATTATTCTATTAAGTTGATTTATAAAATAGAGGAGAAAGAGTTCGAGAAGTCACTGCTGCAATCAAGAGTGGTTATGTAATAAATGGACAACTACTTTGCATTTTCGTTATATGGTAAGAAAACTTTGGATGAATTCCTCAATTTTATAAACCAACTTGATGGAAGAATTAAATTCACAATGGAGGTGGAGGAGGGTAAACAACTACCCTTCCTTGATGCTGAGGTCATTAGCACCAACGGACTACTCAACAGGAGACTATTCAGAAAGAATTAACATGAGGGAATAATCCTCCATTTTCAGTCTCAGCACAACTATAGACTGAGTATGATCATCAGAAGCTTAAGACTAACGGACACTCAGTTATGGGAAGAGTTGGAGAAACTTACTCGGATAAACAGATAAGAAATTTTGATATTAAAGAGGTGATACGAGGGTATATGATAAGTGAATAGCCCGAGACAGAAAGAG